TTTAATATATGGTAATTTTTTAAAAAATAAAAAAATAAACATATTAAATAATATTTTTAAAAAATTAATATTAAATATCTCTAACAAAAAATTAACTCTAACAAAAAATTAAATATATTAAAATTAAATGAAAGGAAGGAAGTAGATGTAAACGGGCCCCTTACATTTCAAGCGTCATTATCAATCACTACAAGGTAAAGTTGTACCCTGGTTATTCTCCTCTACAATAATTTGTACCGCGTATCGGATAGAATTTTAGATTGAAAGATATATTGCACCAAAAAAAAACACATTGAAATAATCCGGCCTTTCAAGGGTGAAAAGTTCTGCAGGTATTTGTTCGTGACTGAACCTTTCTGAACCTCAGCTTGAAGCTGAAAGGTTCCGATAGGGTCAGGAATCTGAGCTGCTGGGTTTCTCAGTTAATGTAATTTGTAGTAAGGGTAGGAATATCCCTTATACTCCATGAAATAAAAATACCTTTGCTGTGAAAAAAAAAAAAAAAACCCATTGAAAGAGACATCTTGTAATTTGATATATTTATTAAAAAATTATTATTTTTAAATTTTAATTAAAAATAAGATAATTTAGTATTATAAATTTTAATAAATAAATAACTATAATTAATAAATATTAATAACTGTGTTACTTGAGGATATATTAATCTTTTTCTTGCATCATCATAACAATTTTTTATTTCACGTTTTAAAGGTGCACAATAAGATAAATGATTATTTTGTTATATTTTTATTTGACGTGTTTTAATATAAAAGGTTATAATCATTCTTTTTTATATATTCAAAAAATTATAACTTAAATAATATGGGAGTTTGTTATTCACTTTATTAATTAAGATTTAATTTTTTAAAGAAATTAATAAAAAAAATTCTTATAAATTTTTTAATATTGACATAAATAGTCTACCTTTGTTCAAGTAAAAAGGAGATTAATTTCAAAATACACATAAATTATCCAAAAGCACCTTGACAACTAAAAAAAGGAAAATAATCTTGAGGCAATTTTTTGTATTATATTTCAAGATAATCTTTTTGTACTATTTTTTAAGATAATTTTTTTTTAATTATCTCTTAGGATAATCTTTTTGTTTTATTTTTTAGTACAACCTGAGATATTATTTAAATGATTGATTTTTTTATGGTTAAATGCTAAATTTGGTCCCTCAACTTTAAGAAATGAACATTTTTGATCCCTCAACAATTTGTTGCACTTTTTTGATCCCTCAACTACAAGAAGTGCACTCCGTTAGTCCTTCTGTTAATTTGAGCCGTTAACTCTGCTTATGTGGCATTTTTTATATTTTTTTTTATGATGTGGAGAGCAAAGTGATGACATGGAGAGCAAAGTGATGACATGGACAAACATTTTGACATTTAATATTATATTTTAATTTTTTTATGACGTGGCAAACATTTTGACATAAAATTACCTAACTACCCTCACCCACCCAATCCTTCTTCTTCTCCTTCTTTCTTTCTCTTTCTTTTTTCCTGCCCTGGGTCTCCATGGCTGCGACGAACCCAACCTGCTGGATCTCGACAGAACCCAGCCTGGCTGGGTTTCCCCGAACCCAGCCTGGCTGGGTTCCGACGAACCCTGCTGGGTCTCGTCTAACCCAGCCTTGTTGGGTTTACCCGAACCCAGCTATTGGGTTCGACGAGACCCCAGCTGGGTTCCGATGAACCCAGCTTTGCTGTTTCGATGCTGAATTCATGTTTTTTCATTTTTCTTTGGATTTTCATTTCTAGTTGTTAATAAATTTGAGAGTTGATTTACAATTTGATTGTATTTTTGTTGGAGTTTGATTAGAGTTTGATTGATATTGTTTATTTTGTTTATTGAATGGTTAATTTGATTTGATAAGATTTACTAAGTTTGAGGCTTGAATGAAACCCAGTAACTGGGTTCAATTTCTCAAGTTCTCTTGAGAAAAGAAAAGAAGAAGAAATGGGTTAAGATCGGTTTTGTAGAGGAGTGGAGATGAGAGAGTATTTAGAGAGGAAGAAGAAATGGGTTAAGATTGATTCTGCAAATGGAGTGGAGGTTAATTTTGCAGAGAGGGAAGATGTGAAAGGAAGATGAGGTTAATTTTGCAGAGAGGGAAAATGAAAAGGAAGATGACATGTCGCCAAAAAAAAGTCCAAATCAGCACCTTTTAAGTTATTTTTGCCATGTCATCCAAAAAAAATATAAAAAATGCCATGTGGCCAAGTTAACAGCGAAAATTGACAGAAGGACTAACGGAGTGCATTTCATATAGTTAAGGGATAAAAAAAGTGCAAAAAATTGTTGAAGGACCAAAAATGTGCAACTCACTAAAGTTGAGGGACCAAATTTAACATTTAACCTTTTTTTATTCATGTGAAACTTATAATATTAAATGCATTCACTTATGTAAAAATTATATCAAAAAATAATATACAAAAGTAGGCTCCACAGTACTGTGCTAAAAATAAATCATTCTTTCTTATATTGTGCTCTAAAATGACATAAGAAAACCGTAATTATAAATGTGTTGAGTCCTCAAAAAACAGATGAGAACGACACTCTACTGCAGCCACTTTCGGATGGCGTTCAAGCACAGCAACGTTCTCGTCTGCGCACCACTGGAACACCGCAGCATCCAAGAAATGTCAGCTTCCATGGAGAAGGCCAAGTCAGAAGGTGCAGACATTGTTGAGCTTTGCCTTGACTCCATCCCCGCATCCTCTCTCGCCATTCCTGAAGAGGTCGGCAGACTCATAATGCAGAGAACTCTGCCTTCCGTTGTTTCCTTCAGGTACCTCCCTTTTTTGTTTAATTTTTTTGCCTTTCCAAAAGAAAAATGAAATTCGAATGCTAAATCTCTTTCTCTCTGTTGATTTTTCAAATTAAGAATTACGAATTGAGTATTAATTAAGATGGAATCATGGGTAATTAAATTTTCACAAATTTTCATTGAATTTATCTACTTTTTTTATTCCCGAGTTTCATTTGCTTACAATGCACTAAACCATGACCTTCACCCTCCAGATCAGGGGGCAATTGCCACCCTGCTTTAGTGAGGATCCCCTGGTTGGGATGTTTCGAGCGAGCCAGCACTCCTTTCCACCATAGCATAAATGGTTACAAATTGTAATTACCCTTTAAAAAAAAAAACAAAAACAGAGGAACAAATTAATGCTTGCAAAAGAAGAATTGAATCCTAGCAGTTTAGTCAGGATCTTAGAAATATAAATAAAGAAGATTATTTTTTCTCATAATCAATGAAGGTTGTTGCCTTGTCGGCCACTCTTATCTCTACATTTAACCAACTCCATTTAAATTTTGGGAATGCTGTTTGCAGTTGCTTCTAGGCTAATCATTGTATTTTATTTTTGGATTTTTTTTAACTTATTTTTTTATTAATTTATATAAAAATATAAAAATTGACATGATAATTTTAATTAAATAATTAATAAATTAAATATTAATTTTTATTTTTTAATATAAATTTATGATAAAAAATATATATTTATTATACTTTTAATTTATATCTTTAAAATATATATATTAAAAAAATCCTTTATTTTTTTTGTTATATTTTACAATTCAAAGCTAAGATCTTAAAATTTTTATTTTAAGTATAAAAAAATTACCATTAAAATGATTAGGTTGTATTGTATGTACGAAATAGTTTCAAAACCTCTAATTTTAAGTCATTTTGGTATAAAGGCCAAAAAAAAGTTCATTTCGGTATTTGAACTTTTTTTTGGCCATGCCATCCTCCCCTAAACTTACTTTTTCAG